TTTCATAAGAAAAAATATTTTTTTTTTCAAAAATTGAGCGACATAGAATGACAAGTTTCAGAAAGGGGCCTGAAACAGTCAAAGGGTTAAGGGTTAAGTTTAAACCTGAATGGGAATCTAATTCCTTGCTTCCTTTCCTTGATGTCCATGTCCACCGATCAGATACAGGTTTTGCCTTTTCCATTTACCGCAAACCTATGCACAGTGGCATGTACATTCACTACTTTTCTTATCATGCTTCCTCTGTCAAGAAAAGCATTCTTATCTCCTTCTTTCTCCATGCTGTCCACATTTGTGATTCTCAGTTCCTTCAATCAGAAATTTCCACTCTTCATAATTCATTTTCCCGTCTTGGCTATCCTTCCCATTTCAGACTCTGCCTTCTCATGTGCTAAACATAATTTCTTCTCTCCCAAGCTCTCTACTCCTGGGCATTCTTCTGTCCTCTGCCTTCCCTACATTTCTGGTCTTTCTAATCTCAAAAACTCTCTCTCCATTCCTTAGACATCAAACTTACTTTCTGCCAGACTAACACTCTTCACACTAATCACGTTCATACCTCTCCTCCCTCTAGAGATGCTCCTGGTGTCTACTCTATTTCCTGTTCCTCCTGTCCTCTTCAATACTTTGGAGAAACTGGCCAATCTCTTTCTGACAGATTTAAGGAGCACAAAACTAGTGTTAGGCTTGCCGACACTAACGATGCTCTTTTCTGTCACGTCAGAGATCACAGCCATCCTATTGACTGGTCTTCTGCTAAAACTGTCTTCCCTACTTCCAACTTTAACAGTCACCGTCTGGTTGAATCTTCCCTAATGCACAACTTTCCTCGTATGCATCTTAGTCCTGGCGTCATCTCTGTAGATGCCTTCCTTTCCCACTACATTGTAAAATGCTCCAAACTTCAGAACACCCATGACCTAACCTGATTCCTCCTTTTCATTTTTCTTCTTCTCCCTCTTCCCCTTTCCTCTTTCCTTTTTCTCCTTTGGGTTGTCTTTCTTCTGCCTTGTGTATTTGTTCCTTCACTATTTATTTATTTATTTTTCCTCCCTCGGTGTTCTTGATCTTACCCTCTGTGGGCACCTAGCTCCCTTGCAGTGCTCCTCTTTCTTAGTATTTGACTGGCTCCTCTTCCTTACTACCTTCCCTGCTACTACTTCCTTCCACCTCCACTACTACTAGTACTACCACCTCCTGCCTATATATATCCATCCTGCTCTCCTTTTTGTTTGTGTGACTTTGTAAATGGTCCAAGTCAGATCGAAACGTCGTCGTAAGCTCCTCTCTTCTATGTGCAGGTTATTTGTGTATCGTTCCAGTCACGGTATTGTGCCTTTTTTGTTATTTATTATATTTAAGCCTCCCTCACTGTTCTGCATACGCCAACAAGACTCTTCAATAAAGGTAAAAGTGATTTAAATGTTCCTTTATCCATCTCATTAGTCGTTTTATTTAGTTCTCATTGTTTTCTTAATGTAAAACTATAGTTAATCTTTAAAAAATGTATTTTTTTGTTAATATTTTTAGGTGTCTGAAACGGATTATTGGATTTACATTAATTCCTATGGGAAATATTATTTCGGTTATCGGCCATTTCGCTTCTAGGCCGACCTTCTGCAACGGATTACAGCCGATAACCGAGGGTCCACTGTATTTGCTACAATCCTCCATTTTAGGTGTCTCATGTTGAAATCCCCCAGTAGCAAGATGTTTGGGGCAGGAGTTGGGAGATTTTCCAAACAGTGGTCAATTTTCAAAAGCTGCTGCTGCTCTTGGAATTGCTGGGAAGTTCCATCTGGAGGCTTGACAAGGTTTTGGTTTTCAATCTTTACTGTCAAAACTTCAACTACATCATTTGAGGTGTTTAGTAATTCTGAGCAAATGAGCAAATCTGTGATGTACAAGCCGACTCCCCCTTGCCTGTTTAGTCTGTTGCATCTGAATAGGTTATAACCTGGGATCCATATTTCATTGTCAAACTGATCCTTTATGTGGGTCTTTGTGAAAGCCACAATACTGCATTTGACTCCGTGAGCAGTCCCTTGATGTAAGGTATTTTGTTGTTTGTTAATGGCTTTAGACCCTGTATGTTTGCAAAGATAAATGTCATTATATGGATGGAACTCAGGGGGCTTTGTTTGATGGCATTAACCCTTACACTGTCGGTGTCATATTAGTACGGCTTACAAGCCAGTACTTGACCCACGAAATCGTAATGATACGATTGCAAACAAACCATACCACGGGCAGGGATAGAACCCGCGATCAGAGAGTCTCAAAACGCCAGACCATCGCGTTAGCCACTGGACCAGCTAGCCACAATAAGATTTGTCTAACTAGGTATATTTCTACACCATAGGAAGGTTAGCATAGGCACCACTGTGACCACTGCGATGGTCTGGAGTTCTGAGACTCTCTGATCGCGGGTTCTATCCCCGCCCGTGGTATGGTTTACAAGCCAGTGTTGGTGCCGTATTAATACGCCAAAATTCTACCGGGAGATAAAACGTAGACCTACACATAAGTGAAAGAGTCTAAGTGGTCAGTGTGCGCAGTATAAAAATAATTCTGCAGCATGCAGTGCATAACGAGAGAAAAAAACTCTGACAGTGTTTTTGGTTTAAAACAACAACTTTGAGGGCGTATTTTCATATGGTATTTATGGTTGTATTCTCGTTTTCTTTTTCTCAGTTGATAGAATGGAAGATATATTACAGAAATAGAGATGATTTTGATTGGTTTCATAATGAAAAGTACCTTGAAATTGAGCTTGAAGTAGCGGAAATGTTCGATTTTTGCTGATGTTAAAGAGTAAACAAATGATGTCACTGTCCAATACATGTCCAACTGGCCAGTCTAATATGCAGTCACAAATGGGTTGACATTATTTATACAATTAATACAATAATGCAGTAATGTCACTGTCCAATACATGTCCAACTGGCCAGTCTAATATGCAGTCACAAATGGGTTGACATTATTTATACAATTATTACAATAATGCAGTAGTTTGCATAACAGTAAATCTTCTATTTTTTGTGTGAATAAAAATTCAAAATAGAAAGCAAGATTAATATAAAAGGGGCCTGGAGACGTGACTAATGAACAAAGAAAATGTTATTTTGGTGCCAGTAATGTCTGCACTGTTTATTCTGAACCTTATTTTAAAATTGGCATCTTTTGAAATTAGTGTGAAATTGGCGGTTTCTTGTACTCAATCGATAGAACAAATGGAGTTCTAGCGAAATAGTTATGAGTTTGGTCAACTGGAACAATGGAATTGGCTGAAAATAGGGCTCAAAGTGGGTGAAATCACTGATGCATATATACTGCTGAGACTGCTAACTTTGCGAGGGTGTAATTCCGTAAATTTACCATCAAATTTTGTACTTTTGGTGTCATTACCATCAGGAAAAAAATCTTTATCATTTCATAAAAAAAAAATATTTTTTTTTTTTTAAATTCTTTGGCAGTGAGAGCAAGCTTGTGAGCAGGGGTCTTGACAGTGAGAGGGTTAATATCTATTGTTCTGGAGTGGAAGCCAATGACTGCCCCTCCACTCCAGAAATGTTTTCTGTCATTTCTCGCCAGTCTTTTTCTTCCTGGTACTATAAAACCTTCTCTGGAGAGGTTCTGGCTTCCCTCTTTTGTTTCCCATGGTCTAGGTGATCTGTATCTTCTTGTTCCTTTTAAATAGTGTGCCTAACAGTATATGTAGTATTGTCTTTCATGGACTGACAAGTGACACATTTTGGAGTGACAAGCTACATAAAAGAGGAAGAGTTGCACCTTCCTGTTATCATGTAGGTATGGCATTTTTGGGGAAGGTCATAGGTGTATGTCCCACCTGTTTTTCCAGATATACCATGTCTGTATATACCCAAGGCATAGAATTTGCCTTGGGTATCTTGCCAGGATTTTTTGTGGCTGTGTTCCCTACTTGTGCATTTTTTTCCATTTCCCCATTGCCTACAGCCCCTGTATGGACATCAGTGCTTCCAACAGTTTTTACTGGTAATGTGTCAACACTATTCCCTGAGACATCATCCCCTTTTGTTCCGTCTCCAACAATATTGCTACTTTGTACCTCTGGAAATTATATAATGTTGTCTTTACCTGTAGCTTGAAATAGGGTTGAAAGTAGCAGAAATATTCCATTTTTGATGATTTCCCTTAGGATGAGTAAGGCCCTTTTTCTTCCTGGTCTATTTTATGAACTTTTACAAGCTCTGCTTTAATTACTTTGTTGCTTTATCCCCAAAGCCATGATCAATCATTCCTAATTATGTTATTATTTCACAAATAGGGTAAAGCTTTGATTTTTTTGTGTGATGATGGATTCAAATTAGAGGGCAAGTGTAATATAAGAGAGGCCTGGGGACATGATTATTGAACAGAGGATAGACTGCTTTAGTGACAGATTTGCATACAGTGCTTATTTTGGATTCTGTTTTTAAACTGGAATTTGTTGAATTTTGTGTAAAACTGGTCAAATTACAGACTTTTGTGTACTTAAAGGGTAATTTTGAGAGAGCGGAAAGCATACTAGGAAAATAGCTAAGAATTTGGTCGAATTGAGCAATGGAACTGGCTTAAAACTGGACTCAAACTGGGTGAAATTTCGAAGTTCAGACTGCCAACTTAACACCTGCATAATTCTGCAAGTTTTACATCAAACTTTTGGTGTCATTACCTTCAGAAAAAAGATTCTCTACCATTTCAGAACACTTTTTTTTAAATGTCAACATTGTCAGCATTTTTAATTTTGGGAGTCCTGATAGTGCAAGGGTTAAGTGTGGCATCCTTTGGAACTGTTTTTGATTCCTTTGCAATTTTAATTTTTAAGTCTTGTTGAGATTTTCTTATCCTTTTTTTATGGCCTCCCTCTTAATATGAAGAGATACTTTTCAGATTAAAAAAAATACTATAAAAAGCAGATTAAGTAATTAAGATCATCAGTTTGTTTCTCACTACTTAGATTTTCCCTTGTTACTCACCAGCTTTAAGTAAGATGACCTGGTCATCAACAGGAAGGTCAGTGAAGTGTGGGATGTGCTTGGCCCATTCCACCAGTTGTACCAAGTGTCTGTCTGCTGCCTGACATATGTTGGTTACGGCATCCTAAGAAGGAAGAAACATTGGCAAGGCCATTACATATGTGAATGAAAACTAATGGTAATTCACACATAACATCGTAATAAACACAGGTCAGTGGTACAAATCAACCCAACTTGGGACAATGAAACAAAATAAGATAAGTATTATACCATACTGAGGCCTTATAACCTGAGTCTGCTGACAAGGGTCTCAGTATGATGGAGAAATACAGTAGTACTGTACTTATCTTAAATTCTCTTTCATTGCCTTTGTGTAGATTTTATTTTTGACACTAATAATAATAATAATACATAATAGTAATAATAACAATAATATTAATAGCAATAATACTAATACAGTGGAACCTCAAAAATCGAACGTATCACATATCGAACGTTTCAAAAATAGGACCATTTTTTCGGACAAACTGTGTCCCTATTATCGAACGCGCCCCTATTTTCGGACCGCCAGGTATGGGACCTGTCTGCCGCCTGCTCTGTCCACGTCCCCACGCAGGCACCGTGAGCAGTCTAGCTTTGTTTATGCTTGAGTGAACACTAACCTGCGCTCTCATTCACACATTTTACGATTATTTCCTTGTGTTTAGTGCTTGTGGGACTGTGAAATAAGCTGCCATGGGCCCAAAGAAACTTGCTAGTGGTACCCCTGTGATAAAAAAAGTGAGAAACACCAAAGATGTGAAGAAGGAAATAATGCATAAGTATGAGGGTGGTGTGCGACTTGTTGAGCTTGCCAAGTGACTCTCCAGTGACTCTCAAGCTGGTCCTAGTGGCATTAAAAGACAGAGAAGGGAAGTAACCCCAGAGAGGGCTTTGATACCTGAAGTCCTTATGGAGGGGGATTCTCCTTCCAAGCACTAACTCCAACTCCCTCTCTCCTCCTCCCTATCTTCCAGATGCCATCACCAATCTTCAATAAAGGTTAGTAAAAATGTTGTTTTATATGTTTATTTAAATTTATTAATAATTGTACACTATATCTGTTGTAATACAGAAGTATGAGAGTGGTGTGAGACTTGTTGAGCTTCCAGGATGTATGGGAAAAACAAGTCGACCATCGGTTCTATCCTGTCAAAGAAAGAACAAATCAAGGAAGCTGATGTTGCGAAAGGTGTTAATATAGGGAGTGGATGAGGTGCCTTCTTCAAAGATTAAGGAGATTTGTGCCAAGTGGAATGATGTCCAAATGTTTGTGCAGAAGTACCACCCTGAGCAAGCCATCTTTGCAACAAGTTCAGTGACAGAGCCATGTCCCATTTTAGGGAAATGTTAAAGAGGCGCCAGAAACAGAGGACTGTGGACAGTTATTTTGTGAGACGGGTCCAGTGACTCTCAAGCTGGTCCTAGTGGCATTAGAAGACAGAGAAGGGAAGTAACCCCCCAGAGAGCGCTTTACCTAAAGTCCTCATGGAGGGGGATTCTCCTTCCAAACACTAACCCCAACTCCCTCTCTCCTCCTCCCTATCTTCCAGATGCCATCACCAATCTTCAATAAAGGTAAGTAAAAATGTTATTTTATATGTATTACTATACATAATTAAAAACTATAGTATTTGTTGTATGTAAAACTGTAATTAATCTCCATAAAATGTATTGTTTGTGTGAATATTTTTGGATTTCTTGAACGGATTAATTGTATTTCCATTATTTCTTATGGGAAATATTGCTTCGAATTTCAGACTTCGAATTTAGAACTAGCTTCTGGAACGGATTAAGTTCGATTTTTGAGGTTCCACTGAAATAACAACAAGTAATAATAATAATAATAATAATAAAAATAATAATAATAAGGAGGGGTGTTAATGTTGCAGTTTAAAAACTGTAGTGTAAAGCACCCTTCTGGCAAGACAGTGATGGAGTAAATGATAGTGAAAGTTTTTCTTTTTCGGGCCACCCTGCCTTGGTGGGAATCGGCCAGTGTGATAAAAAAAAAATAATAATAGTAATAATAATAATAATACAGTACCTACAACATGCACAATAATCTAATCTAAATTATTTTTAAATTTTTAAAAGAAAAATGTTAAATAATTATGTAACTGTGATCTTTCAAGTTTATACTTTCCACTACTAGCATAGCAACTGTTATCAAGATTAGTACATATTTACATCACTAAATACACATACCCACATACCATAAATGGGGGTATATCCTACAATTGCCATGCCACTGTGGATAATGTGTGTTAGTCAGGTTAAGTATTGCTGGCACTAGCCAACAGCTCAATGGGTGACTACATTAACCCATAAACGGTCCAAACGTATATATACGTTCACTACCGTACTGCCCCAACTTTTTTGAGGAAAAAACATTGCTGTTTTTTAATAGGAAAAAAGAGCATATGGTACCCAGGCATCCCCAATTATTTTAATATGGCACACAGTGAGTGCTCACACCCATTCTCTCATGTCTAGGCGACTCAGGCTTATCGTGGCAATGTAAAATGTATGACACATAAAACATATATATACGTTTGGGACACTAGCGGTAAAAACGTAAATATACGTTTGGACCGTTTACGGGTTAACAAAGACTTGGTATTAGCTTGAGGACCTGCTTGTGTTCTACCCAATCAGATGCTGGTGAAATCTTTCAATTGAATTTTACAGTACAGTACATAATATTGTCTTACAAGGAAGATACTCAACTGGATTCTTATTATATTCATGAATAGAGTTAAACCCAGAAAAGTCACCTGACTGTCAAGAACAACTCGACAATCCTAGCATATTGGCACCTAGAGCTCTTCCACAAACTGACAATGTGAGACCAAGATAACCAGAAGTCCAAATGTGTTTTGCTGAAGAATCATTTTAAAATATGTAATTGGATGCAAAACAGCAGAATGAAGAGAGTGGTGAGAGAGTGCAAAAGCAGAGCAAGTGATAGAGTAGGAGAGGCACTGTCAAGAAATTTTGCTGAGAATGAGAAAAATTTTTAGAATGAGATAAACAGGTTAAGAAAGCCTAGGAAACAAATGGATTTGTAAGTTAGCAACAGAGTAGGGGAGCTGGAGGTATTGGGTAGATGGCGGGAATATTCTGAGGAACTTTTAAAAGTCGATGTAATTTCATGCACTGGCCAGGGATGTATAACATCTTTTACGAGTGAAGAAGAGCAGGATGTGACTGTGGGGGAGGTGTGTGAGGCATTACATAAAATGAAAGAGGGTAAAGCAGCTGAAACTGATGGGATCATGACAGAAATGTTAAAAGGGGGGGAGGGAGTGTTATGATATAGTGTTGGAGTGGTTGGTATTTTTTTGGTTTGCACATACATGTACATGTTTATTTATACACACTCATCTGAGTTTTCTTTGATTTTATCTTAATAGTTCTTGGTCTTATTACTTTTCCTTTTATATCCATGGGGAAGTGGAATAAGAATCTTTCCTCTGTAAGCCATGCGTGTTGTAAAAGTCAACTAAAATGCCGGGAACAATGGGCTAGCAACCCCTTTTCCTGTATTAATTACTAAAAATAATAATAATAAGAAAATTGTCCAAGTGGGAAGTCTGATTGTGCGTGGATGTGGTGCAAATGATAAGAAAGAGATAATTGTGGATGTTATGAATGAGAAGAAGCTGGATGTCCTGGCTTTAACCCTTTCAGGGTTTCGGACGTACTAGTACGGCTTACGCACCAGGGTTTTTGATGTACTAGTACGCCTAAATTCTAGCGCCCTCAAATCTAGTGAGAGAAAGCTGGTAGGCCTACATATGAAAGAATGGGGCTATGTGGTCAGTGTGCGAAGTATAAATAAAATCTGTAAGTTTTCCGTCAAATCTCGTTCTTTTGGTGTCATTACCATCGGGAAAAGATTCTCTATCATTTCACAACAAAAAATTATTTTTTTCTTTTCAAAAATTTTTCAACACCAGAAGACACCTCAGGATTTGGAGTTTCGACAGTCAAGGGGTTAATATATTTATAGATGGGGTTGTAAAAGAAGTAAATGCTAGGGTGTTGGGGAGAGGAGTGAGATTAAATTATGGGGAATTAAGTGCAATATGGGAGTTTACACAGTTACTTTTTGCTGATGATACTGTGCTTATGGGAGATTCTAAAGAAAAGTTGCAAAGGTTAGTGGACGAGTTTGGGAGAGTGTGTAAAGGTAGAAAGTTGAAAGTGAACATAGATAAGAGTAAGGTGATGAGGGTATCAAATGATTTAGATAAAGAAAAATTGGATATCACATTGGAGGGAGGGAGTATGGAAGAAGTGAATGTTTTCAGATATTTGGGAGTTGATTTGTCAGCTGGGTTTATGAAGGATGAGGCTACCATAGAAATGATGAAGGAAAAAAAGGCGAGTGGTGTGTCGAGGTATTTGTGGAGACAAAAGATGTCTATGGAGGCAAAGAAGGGAATGTATGAAAGTATAGTGGTACCAACACTCTTATATGGGTGTGAAGCTTGGTTTGTAAATGCTGCAGCAAGGAGGCAGCTGGAGGCAGTGAAGATGTCCTGTCTAAGGGCAATGTGTGGTGTAAATATTATGCAGAGAATTCAGAGTGTGGAAATTAGAAGGTGAGGAGTTACTAAAAGTATTAGTCAGAGGGCTGAAGAAGGGTTGTTGAGGTTATTTGGTCATTTAGAGAGAATGGATCAAAGTAGAATGACTTGGAGAGCGTATAAATCTGTAGTGGAAGGAGGGGTAGGGGTCATCCTCGAAAAGGTTGGAGGGAGGGGGTAAAGGAGGCTTTGTGAGTGAGGAGCTTGGACTTCCAGCAAGTGTACTCACCTAGTTGTACTCACCTAGTTGAGGTTGCGGGGGTCGAGTCCGAGCTCCTGGCCCCGCCTCTTCACTGAACGCTACTAGGTCACTCTCCCTGAGCCGTGAGCTTTATCATACCTCTGCTTAAAGCTATGTATGGATCCTGCCTCCACTACATCGCTTCCCAAACTATTCCACTTACTGACTACTCTGTGGCTGAAGAAATACTTCCTAACATCCCTGTGATTCATCTGTGTCTTCAGCTTCCAACTGTGTCCCCTTGTTACTGTGTCCAATCTCTGGAACATCCTGTCTTTGTCCACCTTGTCAATTCCTCTCAGTATTTTGTATGTCGTTATCATGTCCCCCCTATCTCTCCTGTCCTCCAGTGTCGTCAGGTTGATTTCCCTTAACCTCTCCTCGTAGGACATACCTCTTAGCTCTGGGACTAGTCTTGTTGCAAACCTTTGCACTTTCTCTAGTTTCTTCACGTGCTTGGCTAGGTGTGGGTTCCAAACTGGTGTGTGTGTGTGTGTGTGTGTGTGTGTGTGTGTGTGTGTGTGTGTGTGTGTGTGTGTGTGTGTTTGATAAGAGTAAATGGAGACAAATGGTTTTTGGGACTTGACAAGCTGCTGGAGTGTGAGCAGGGTGATATTTAGTGAAGGGGTTCAGGGAAACCGGTTATTAAAGATTTTGCCGGACTTGAGTCCTGGAAATGGGAAGTACAATGCCTGCACTTTAAAGGAGGGATCTGAGATACTGACAGTTTGGAGGGACTTCTAAACTGTCGTATCTGAGCTCCTCTGGAAAGATGGTAATTATATATGAATGAGGTGAAAGTGTTGAATGATGATGAAAGTATTTTCTTTTCGGGGATTTTCTTTCTTTTTGGGTCACCCTGCCTCGGCGGGAGACGGCCAACTTGTTGAAAAAAAAAAAGTTTAGGACTTATATGTAGGGTTTGCTACTATCAACGGTTCTGGTATCCACACAGGTTCTTGGAACGTATCCCCCACAGATGCGGGGATCCTACTGTATTATGATGTGGGTTCTCATTATCTGTATGATTAGTTTATGTTCATACATATTAGTTTATGTTCATACATATTAGTTTATGTGCATGCATATTAGTTTATGAGCATGCATATTTATGAGAGCTACTACTTATGAGTATATCTTTGATTTCGTAGATTCACTTAAGAAAGTTCACCATGTGTGAAAGACCCGCTCTGTACCTCTGATAATAAAGGTTCTTTATTTATCTCTCTCTTATCACTACTTTTCAGTTATTGTCACAGCTATATGAACATATTAACAGATGATGCAAATACAGTGGTACCTTGACTTATGAGTTTAATTTATTCCATGACCGAGCTCGTAACTCAATTTGCTTGTATATCGAATCAATTTTCATCAATGAACTTAACTGAAATACCATTTATCCATTCCAGCCCCCAAAACACCATCCAATTTTTTTTTTTTGTTACAGGTTTTTAACCCTTTGAGGGTTTTCGTCGTACTAGTACGTCTTACGCGTAGGGGTTTTTGACGTACTAGTACTCATAAATTCTAGCGGCCTCAAATCTAGTGGGAGAAAGCTGGTAGGCCTTCATATGAAAGAATGGGTCTATGTGGTCAGTGTGCACAGTCTAAAAAAAATCCTGCAGCACACAGTGCATAATGAGAAAAAAAAAAACTTTGACCATTTTTTTTGAATAAATCAGCGACTTTGCAGTGTATTTTCGTATGGTATTTATTGTTGTATTCTAGTTTTCTTGGTCTCATTTTATAGAATGGAAGACAATATACAGAAATAGAGATGATTTTGACTGGTTTTACAAAGAAAGGTGCCTTGAAATTGAGCTCAAAGTAGCAGAAATGTTCGATTTTTAGCAAACTTCAAAAGTAAACAAATCGTGCCAAGCGTGCAATACACGTCAACTGGTGAGTCTAATATTCTTTCACAAGTGCACCAATAATATTTATACCATTTTTTACACTAATGCAGTAGTCTGCATAACAGTAAATCTTATATTTTTTGTGAAAATAAAAATTCAAAGTGGAAAGCAAAAGAATATAAGAGGGGCCTTGAGACGTGAATAATGACTAGAGGAAATGTCATTTTAGTGCCAGGAATGTCTTTCTTGTTTATTCTGGACCCTATTCGGAAATTGGCATCTTTTGAAATTTGTGTGAAATTGGCAAAATTGCTAAATTCTGACCACTGTACTGGATAGTTGAATTTCATAAATGAGTGGTTTCTTGCACCCATTCGATAGAAAAAATGGAGTTCTAGCGAAATATTCATGTTTTTTGTCGACTAGTACAGTGTAATTGGCCGAAAATGGGGCTCAAAGTGGGCAAAATCGCCGATGCGTAAACATCGCCGAGACCGCTAACTTTGCGAGAGCATAATTCCGTAAGTTTTCTATCAAATTTCAAACTTTTGGTGTC